CTCACTCACACACACACAGGTTTGTTTTTATGGTTTATGGGGACTAATATACTAATATCCTTATGTTCACACATAAGATACTTTTTTGGTTTCCTATAATGAACTTTTATCAATATTCTGTATCAATTCTATCAATACATCATATTGTGTGGATAAACATCTATAAAAGACATTAAAGTAGACCAACCTCCCAGAGGGAAGAACAGAGCATAGATGTTTTTAAAAGTGTCTTCATTCACAACTCCGCTCGGACAGTCCTAGCAAAAACAGGAGCAGACAAGAGCGCAATATTTAAGAGATATTTAAGTGTGTTAAATATATTGAAGAAGTGTTCACTCTTTTTGAATATCTCCAAAGAGAGCAAACAGCATCATTTGTAATTTCTGCACCCAGCAGGGGTTTAAGTGAACTCTCACGTTCTTGAATCCTCTGTAGAGTAGCTGCAGCTCTTGTCTGGAGAAATGGGTCTGCGACTGCAGCTGCTCCAGATTTTCCGGGTGATACCGCACCGTCGTGCTCTCTTGTTCTTCGTCCTCATTATCTGCAACACAGCACACACAGCCGCCATCATCTGTATGAGCAAAACAGCTTCTGTAGCGAACAATCGGTGTTTTTATGCACCCTCGCTTGCTTGCGAACTGTCCAAGAGCTTTATCTTTAATTAAGAATCCCGGCACTAGCAGGTCCGGTGACACTAATTACACAAACGCTTGGCTTTTTGATGAATAATGAAAAGAGATTGACATGTATTGATGGCTTTGTCAAGGCCATGTTTTCTTTTACACACCACTGAGAAAATGCATCAAAACAGATTTTGAGTCACGTTTAACAGTTTTGATTGATTGTTTTGTTATTTAAAGTGGTTTATAAAATACTATTTAGCAGCTATTATGTATGTGGGGGTCAATATTGATTGCATGAACAGCTCTGCTGGCCTGTTTCTGTGAATTTTATTAAATATTCACTGCTGTGCCTTAGCAGGTCAGGTAACTAAAGCCACTGAGGACATGAATAATACGTCTGTCCCAGATTCTCATGAAGAACGTTCTGGTGCATATAGGTCCAGAAGCACGGGTTTTCATGAGATATAGTCTCTGTGCCTGAAAAAGTTCTACTTCTAGCCTAATTTTTTAACATCCTTGTTCGTGTATGAGACATATACCATATCTGAGGAAATACAGAAGACACTGAAAGAGGAAAAAGTTGAAGATAACACAATTATAATCACATGATCTCCTTTAAAATATTCCGTCCTACTTGAACTATTTGCTATTTGTAGGTCAAAATGTTCTTGTTTAAGAGTTGTTTTTGTACGAGGAGATTAATTGGGATACCAGAATGACCCACTTAAAGATCGGTCAAGATGTTACAAGCTGCTGCTAGAACTTAATCAATCCAGCCACC